ACATGACTGAAATGGCAGTGGTAGATCCGCAAAAATGAGATCAGGTGAGGGCGGAGATGTACTTACCGTCTAGTTGGAACAAAGCAAAAACAATCGGCTGGGAAACCCTCGAGGGTAATCGGCCGGAGGCCGGTTTCGCCGAAATAGCTCAATAAAAAAATTGACAGTAGAGGTAACTTTGATAATTTTAGAAGCTTTGAAAAGCATCGAACGGCCTCCCCTCAACTAACACTTTACTCATTTTGTGCAGGGAAATGATAAAGAAAAGGCCACAGGTTTTAAAGATCAAAAACTTGAAACGAATTCAGCGACTCTTCCAAAGGGACGATCCCAAAACCAACCCGTTCATTGCCGGTTTCGGAAACAGAGTTAGCGATGAAGACACCTACCGAGCTGTCGGAATCCCGAACACGCACATCTTCATCGTCAATCCTCGTGGGGAGCTAACGACGCCCTCGGGTGTTCAATTGAAACTGGGCTACAAAGAACTCCAGGAACTAGTCGAGACTGTGTTCCCGCCCTCCCTCGGTCGAATGGAATACAGCGACACCTACTCCGACTTCACTTACTGGCGCCCAGTCCAGACAGAAAACTCTGAAGTCGAAAGCCAAATACAAGCGTCTCCCAGTCCCACAAGCAGTAAAAGTGGCTACTTTTTCTAGAAAGTCTATTCAACTGCCCTCGCGTCCCCAAAACCGATGCAAATTCCCACCCTGTCATCACCCTCAGGAAATCTGACCACATTTGTGTCAAAAGCGTTCACTTTTGCCAAATTAAAACACTATCGAGGATGAGAAAACATTAAGATGTTTTTATATGTATTTTGTTATCGATTTTTAAAGAAAATGTACACATGATGTTTGTGTTTAATAATATACAGCAAAGTTATTTCCCAATATTTAGTCTGGGTCTTTTGCTGCTCCGTGATCCTTTGGTTTCCAGTCTATAAAAAGAGAAAGTTGGTAAATAACAGAGTGATAATACATGAACGAATGACACATTTGGCAAATTAGCAGCACATTAAACTTAGGATTAGTAGTAAATAAAGGGAGAGGGGTGAGTGTATAATATGTGAAGGAATCAAAAAACGTACAGCTCACAGTGTAATTAAGTCAGTTCCGCGGAG